CCCCCCAAGCCCGGCAAAACACAAGGCCCCCAATTCCCACTGGCGCTTTTTTGGGGCCAAAACCCAAAAACCCCCCCCAAGCCACCCGGAACCCAGCCTTCTCAACACCCCCCCAACTTTAAAAACCCAGCCCCCCAACACTTGGGACCCCCACAACCTTTCGGCGAAATTTCTTTTCGTTCGTGGAGTCCCCCCCCGGGTTTTGGGAGGGAAAACTGGGGGAAAACGACGGGTTTTTGATTTCCCGCCCCCCCGTTTCCCGGGGGAAAATCCCGGGGGCTTTCCGCCCCGGGGGCCCTTCTCCCCCCCCCCCCCCCGCCCCCCCCTTCTCTTTGAGAGTAATCCCCTCCACCCCGGCCGCTAGTGCCGCTTCCGCCGCTTTCGCGGCCTTCCTGGCCTTGGCTCCCCCCTTTCGCTTGGACACCTTTGGACTCGGCTCTTTTCCGGCCATGGTTGCTTTGTTTTCTATTGGTCACAAAAAAAAGATCGAGAGGTGGTTGATCCACGTGCGTGCTCTCTCTCTCTTCCGTCTCTTTGACTGCTTGCTGCTAATGTATTTTCCTGTCTGCGTGTTCCCGTGAAGCGGGAGCGAAAGTCGAGCGACGGCAGGGGAACGGGAACACAACAAACACAGCAGCAGTGGTCGGTCGACAACGCGCGTGTAAGGCATCAACTATTTAATCAAGTCGCACTAGAGCAAATGGTAGCTTCTTGTGTGCATCAACGAAACAGGAGGCAGGAGAGAAAACACGCCGGAGATCGCGTCAAGACGTATCCTGCTCGTCTCAATTCGCTACCTGGTGCCCACGGCCCATGGATTCTCCAAGAGCGGGAGGGGGGGGGGGGGGGGGGTTCGCGGAAATCGGCCGCCCTTTCGGCGTCCAAAGCGATCCAACATGACCACTAGCAGGGGGAGCGAGCGATAGCGCGCTCACCGAAACCACACCGAGCAGAGCAGCCATCTCAGGCAAAGCATCCCCTACGCCCCAGTTTCCATATGCATAACGTTGGTTACTACTTTGTACTTTCCGGGAAGAGCGCCTCCAAGTAGGGACACGGAAGGATAATAGGTACCATGCTTTCTAGGGTTGTTGGTTTTTCCGTACATACACCGAAGCCAAAGATCAGTTCCTCTGTCGCTTGTATGTGAAGTACCATCCAACGTCAAGTCTGAAAGTTCCAATTTCAATAAGTAGCACCTTCTCTACCACGTTTCGTGGATCGAGATGAAATTGGATTTTACACGTTACCAGAGCAAGGCATGTACCTTGAAAAATGGGTTGGTTGTAAGAAAGCAGTGAACAAAAACAAACTTTTCTTCTTTATCCAACTACAGGGTACTACATTGCTTTGCCTCCATAGCTAAACAACTCTGGCCTGGGATGACCACGCGGGAGACTTCTCTATCCGCGGACAACATTAGCTTCAGCAGTACTGCTGCGTGCACAACAGCAGAGCAGCAGAGAACCTGGATGCTCTTTTTTTTTTTTGCGAAAACGTCAGCAAGCTAACAAGACAGTCCGCCATCCGCCCCCTGAGTTCCCGATTTGCAAATACATCTATCTGTTGCCTACCGAAACGTTGGATCAATCGACCGCTGTACATCTACCGAAGGGGTAGGCGCACCCGCCTGAGAGGACTTCGCGGCGGGTGAAGCGACTACATACGTACTCCAAGCTGCGAGGTGGATGTATGTCGAAAAACGAACAAAGAGTTCTATGCTGGCTGCGGCTGTATGGCGAGGACGTCACACACCATAGAGACGGTGCTGAAAAAAACTCTCATGCTACGACACGCAAGTCCTCTAGACACAAACCGTTGGACAAAAGCGGCCATATTGCAGAGTGCGTGCCTCCTGTCGGGCAGTTCCCAACAGCTGAACTGGCCACGCACGCTAGGTTTGGCCGCCTGCCGTGTGCTGCTGCTGTGTCATCCCGAGGGTGCGTTGAAACGGAAGTTATTTACGTGTGTCTGACTACCGAGGCGCTTCTATTTCGGACAAAACGACACCCAGAACCAACCCGGGAGAGATTCACAAGCTGCCGACACCAGCTGGGGCACCGCACCTCCTGGCCCATGCAATCGTCGACAGCTGTCGCTGACCTCCCCACACAATCAAGGCTCTCTCTGCTACTGCTGTCTCGCAAACACGAAGCATCACGACCGGCGCGGTGCCAAATTTAAATACATCGGCTGGATGTCAGGCGAGCAAACGCACAAAAATAAAAAAAATCGGCTGCGCGAGTAGCGAAGCGGGGAGTCACCTTGGTCAGATGAACCAGTATATGATGCGAGGTGTTGCGCACGCCTCTCCAAGTCTCGATCAGCACTGCTGGTAGCGGGTGCAAGGCTGCGGCTTTGAGTGGCTGATGGCTGTCCCCCGTGGGGGAGGATGCGTCACGGAGGAAGGTTTTCGGCCATCAGTGGGGCCCCCTCTCCCCCCCGCTCTCCCCTCTCTGTCCCACCCACAAGACCACAACGAAGAGATCGCGATTCAAAACAGTAGACAACAGACAGCAGCACCAGGTACCAGGCCACCCAACACGATTGGACCTTGTGATTTGTCTCATCGAGCGCGAAGGAGCACTATAAAGCCTTGCCAACGCCCTAGGAGATCTAACTACCGGTGTACGTCGCGCGGAGGGAGGGAGGTGTGGTTGACAGGATAAACAGCCAAGATGTCTGCGATGTGTACGCCTAGCCGCTGCGCTACGCCCGCGAGACAGGGGCTCACACCGCTGAGACCGGTGACGCCGATGGGCGTCGATCTACCCGAGGACACGCCCTCCAAGATCCGTGCGCGGGGTGCTGCGGATTGTGCTTCGATTCGGAGGAGACAGGTTGGTTTTTGTCAAATCATCATGGCAGTTGATCGTTTTTGAGTGTTGATCGTACAGCAGTGTACAAGGGTCATGAAGTGGATGTGTATGCATACATAGGTGGGTTGGTGCCACCAGGGGGAAGACCACTGACGTGATAAGAGCTCTTAGCGTAGCTGCGTTACACAAATGACGTCCCGTATTGGCAGCTTCACGCGTCGTGCCGCCACACCGTCGTTTCATCCAACGTACAAAAAATTGGACGAAGTCGGCCGGCAGAGTTTGAACCCCTGAAAATTGTTTACATTACACAGCAGCAATCATCGTTCCTCGCCATATGGATCGTCGATAGAGACCAGGTTGGAGCCAACGGCTGCCAACCCCCTCTGCTGGACATGACATACGCAGCATATCAGACTACACAGCAGCCGATGCTTACTACGCATGGTTTTTTCCGTCAGCGTCGCTTTGCTCAGTTGCTCTAAGCTCGCTCGATTACTTACCAAAGGACCCGAGTCGTATGTTAGCGATGAATTGAATACTTGGACTGAATTACGCCGAAAACTGTTCCTGTTACATAGACACGAAGTGCCCTGTCTCGGGTGTCACGTGTCTTGTGTCATACACAAGGGAACCGTTGGAGCCCGTACGTGCCACAGCTTTAACCGAGACGGCCGCCAGGGTGTGAGGTCTAATTAGCATGCCTTAAAGGTCTGTAGATGTCATAGCCCAAGAGAAAAATATCGACATCATTTTTTTCTCCTCTGCACAGAGATTGGTAGTCTTACATTTACACATTAAATCCAAATGGATTACTCCGGAGTACATTTGTGGTGACCGCCACCCTCTTTTGCTCTATGCTCCAGCTCCAGTGCACATACAGCATCTTTTCTCGTAGACAACACACACAAAACGACAGCTCCAGGTAGCGAACACAGCCGAAGAGCATCTCGCGCGTCAGTAGTTGATACATTACATCCTTCTACATGCATACATGCATACCTCTTGACCACAACTGCACGGGGCGAAAAAGAGTACCAAAAACCCCTTATAAGTATAGGTTTATCTGATCTAAGTATCAACCACCCCTCATTCGCAAAACCACCAATTGTAATCCGATTCCGGACGTTGTCATGGCATCTATTTACACGCAGCAACTGAGGGCTGAGGGGTCGCCAAAAACTCAACGACGCATCATAGCCAAGGGCCAAATGGCAGACAGTTTGTTTTCCATCGCCGCCCGTGTCGATTCGTTTGCATTGTTTACCTCTCCCAGCAGCTGAGCTGTATCAGTCGATGTTGGAGAATCGTTCGGGAGGGTGTGTGGCACCATCGGTTATCCTAAATCTAGTCACATGTACTTTTCCCCCCTCTCTCACATCGCCCCCGTCCCTCCTCAACCTAGCTACGTTATTCAAATGGCAGATACACCCTCTCTATGTACATACCAGGTGCTTCATGCTGAGCTTTTCCAGTTTAGATGGAAAGCTGGGTGTGTGAAATCCCATCCGTGGTAGCGTAAACCGTACACAACAGGTCGTGTTGTTGTTGTCTTTGTTGTTGAGTCTTCACATGCGTAACACAATCCAGTCTGACCTTTGCCCAGTGCCCTTCGGTACTCTCTTTCGAGGAGACACGATTTTCACAAAAACCATACATGGGGGCTCCGCCTGCTGGGGGGGGGGGGGGGTGCACTTCAAGGCTACGCCAGGCTCCTCACACAAATATAGCGCTGTAAAGAGGGGATGGCGTTTCGCAGAACCAAGCGAAACAACTTGAAGTGAAAAGAATGGATTTGCACAATTGCAGATTTTTACGGTGGGGATGGAAAAAAAGACCTCAAAAGCACCTTTTTAATAACGTTTTGCGTGGTGTTCCGTATGTATTTTTGCCGGAACGCCGAGTGTGATGAATGGTTACTACTACTTGCGGGTGTTCAGTGCTGGGGTGACTTTAGTGGAACCGTGTAGAGCGGCAGTACGTTTCCAAAAAAAACTGACAACCCCAACGCGGTCCATTGCATTGTGCGTTCTTCACCAAGTTCCGCCAAGCTTTACGTCGAAGGGAGAAAAGAAACACGAAGCCAAGTGTGCCGAAAAAAAAATCTCCTCTGTGTAGCCCCGCTTGGTATGCCCGAAGGAAAAAATCGCACCAAAAAGCTGTGGTCCCAGGCGTAGATGACACGGAGAAGGACAGCATTGTACATACACTAGCTCTTGCAAATGACCTAGGCATTCATTCCTATGTAACGAACGCGTCCACAGCAAGAGGAGACGGCCAAGGCGGAACTGGAGACGGGCCGCGACCTACACCAGCAGGTTAGTGAGAGATGAGCTCTCCGCATTCTTGCTTGCATGCTGGTGGTCTGATTTTCGCGAGAGACATACGAACGTGAACTGGTGTAGTGTATGACGGGTGTCGGTGGAGAGAACATGCAGACAGATACCAGAGAGAGACACGTACGCTTGAGATACTGTAGGGTAACGTTTCGACAACAGGCAAGCATTTGGAGATGACTACCGCCCCTTATGGCGTCATCGCGTACCTTGTGATTCAACTGAACCGTGGAAGAGTGTTTGATTTATGGGTCACTCCAAGAATGAAGGAAAGGTATGCAAACGTTGCTCTTTCATGTTCGCGCTTTCAGAATATCCAACCACAGGTGTGTTTACCTATGCAGAGGATGCCGCGACTGTAGCCTTTTGAAGTCATCGTCATCAGTACCGTCACTAAATACAGTTGCAGACCAGTTCCCTTGTTCTGTAAGCCTCAATCGTTTGGCCTTCTCTGGATGGAGTTCTGTTTTTCTTACGCCATCGATTTTTCTCAATGAAGTCCACTGCTGTTCTTTGCATCTATGTAGCTAGTACCCTTAGTTTTTTGCGGATGCTGTTCTTCTTTCCTCTACCTCAGCTATTTTGTTTTTGTGCGAAACAGTGTTCTGTATGTCCTTTCGCCTCATGTACTCTTGTGTGTTGCAGATGAAGGACGATCGGGAGCGGCGAAACGCTCACGCCAAGGGCGACACGGCGTTGCGGCGCGACCTCTTGGCCAGGCAGGCGGCCCACAAGAAGGGCACGCTTGAGATAGAGGTCGGTGCCCAAAGAGGCGACAGTAATATTAGTTTCAAACCAAACCGTTCACAAGATCATCCTGTTTGTTCAAGCAGACGGCGGTCCTTTTCGCGAAGTAATCCTGTCCAAAAGAGTGGGCCTGAGAAAGCCCCACACTTTAGGGAAGCGTTCACCCACAGCAAAAAAGTAGAAGTTATTGAGAGTAATAATTTACGCTGAATACCAACCATGTGGACAGGCCATTCTCGTGTTTTCCCTCGCTTACGACAGCCAGACCGGACTCTGCTTTTTTTTTTGCCGCTGCTTGTGAGTTGCGTCGTGCGGACCGCTAAGTCTGTATTACAAACGTTGGTTGTTTGGGGCTCTCGTTGTGTCCCATGGTACACTACACTGTTTGCGGATTTGTCCCGTATTGGCTGGATCGATACGGAACTGCTGTACGGGGGTGCCGGGTCGAGGTCGAGCTGCTCTATTTTGGTGTTACAAACAACAACGCGCGACACAAGCAGCAAACATCTTCGCGGTCTGTACGCGTACGGCGCACCGGTTAACCGACTAGGCGGAGCGGGAGCGTGAATTGAAGGCGAGGGAGAAGGCCGACCAAAGGGCGAGCGACGCCCTGAAAGAGCTCCGGCGACAGGAGCTGGAGGCGGAGAAGAGAGAGGCCAGGCAGAGCAGGGCGGAGACAGTCTTGCACGTGCGTGTGTCCTGTCCGGCTTTCTGCGCTTTGCGGTGCTGCCGCGAAGTTGCGCTTTGTCATGCTGCATTCTGTAGTGTCAGGGTTGTTGTGTGCTGCTGCGTCGGTTTCTTTGTTTAAGACGAAGAATCACCTCTTTGAAGACCTGTATCGGCGTAGTCAACAGCATATAGAACTCCATGCCCACCGTCTAAGGCTTCACGCGAGTCCACCCTTTCAATTGGGGGAGAAGCCCTCGTTTTTGGACGGTTTGTGGCGGTTGCCGCACCGCTTGTTTTCCCCAGCGTACATGATCGCTCTCATTTTTGTTTCTTCGAACGTGCTGGGGTAAAACGCTGCTCTAAGTGCTACTCTGTAGACTGGTGCATTTGGAAGCTATTTGTTGGTCACGTACATGGTTACTGTCATGTTAACGCTCCTCACTCGAAAGTCTACGGAGACAAGGACCTCGTCATTCGCACTATTTTTGGCAAAAAACTGGGTTTGAAGTAGCCATTCATTGTTCAGGTGTGCGTCACCTTTAATCAGGTGTGCGTCATCGGCTTTTTTTTTTGTGACAGTTTGGTCTTGGCAATGACGCTGGCCTTGTGTATGTTTTCTACGCCACTGTTGGGATGTGCGATCTGCGCAGTGCCGATGCACCTTGACTCACGGGGTAAAGAAATCTAACATTTAGGCGGTCGCGTTACGATGTGCTTTGGTGGGTTGACCTCGCTCGCAGTCGAAGGCAGCAAAAGACTCCGAGCAGGCCCGGGAGCGATCTCTCGCGAAGAAGGACTACGAAGCCGGTCTCGCGGAGCGTCGTCTTAAGGAGGAGGAGGTGGGTCGTTGGTGTGCCTCTGAGGGTTTCATTATCTTTTTCAGCCATGGAGATGTTGTAGCAGGGTTTCTTGTTCCCGCCCGTGTGGCTACGGGCTGGATGTTTCAGAGGAACTACGCAGTAGTGTAGGAATCGACAATGATCGCGTCCAATAGTGTACCAACCGATAACCACAACCATCTGCGAGCAAGCCATCCTTTCAACCTGTCGGCCCGTTTTGGTTTGGTTTTGGCAACAATGCGTAGGCAAAGGCAGCCAGGAAAGCCGAAGCAGAAGCTCGGAAGACTGCAATGCTCGAGGCCCGAGATCTAAAGTAAGTGCTGAGTCAAATCTTGGCTGTCAGGTGTAGATCGCCGAAAAATCTTCTATTTTCTTGTCCACGGTGGACCAATAGTCACCATACAAACTATTTCAGTATATCCCGCCAACCATGTACGGTACCTCTTACTAATGTTGCGTTCCCTACGGCATCCCATAACCTTGGGTGCGATGTGTTGGCGGGATCTTTGAGAAACAGCACCCCATGTGATGATTCCGCAAGGTAAGTTCGGCGGTGACGCTAGGAGAAACGCCGGGCTGTAGTTCCATAGACGATTGAAAAGGAAAGTAGCTGGAAAGCGCTCAGTTTGTTCGGCGAAGCGACGGAGGCAGCATGAACAACCCGGTCTTGTTGTGGAAGCTCGATCTCTGCCAATGTTCGAGGCCAGAGTGACACCTGGCGTGTTCGCTGGGCCTGTTCCATCAAAGACTTCGGACGAAGGTCATCATCTACAGACAGGCTCACCAGACACGCCCAATCGAAGGCATGGCCGAAGGTGTTCTTGCGGGCGATTGAGGTCTACATGACTGTGCTCAATGTCCCATCGCTTCAACGAGTCAAGATTGCCGATAGTTGGCAGCGAATATGGCGCTACTGCTGTCGTCGCCACCTACCGGTCCCTGAACGGACAGCTCCTATCGCTTCCACCGGGAGCTATTACAGGTTGCGCAGTCGGCAGCGTGCTGGATTTGCGCGTGCCGGTGTGTGTTGGAGGCTGAGGCCCGCGCTTCAGTTCGTACGAAAACTGTTCGTGTCGACCCCTTCGCAAACGAGACTGCACTGGGCGGCGTTCGGAGGTGATGGCTGCTTCTCACTTACCCCGAAGATAAAAAGGCCTCTTACGCCGAAGATGGAAAGGTCGCAATCGCCGGCGTGGTCTTTCCCTGCCGGATGCGCGTTCTATTATCGCGCTTGCATCAACAAGCGCTTCGCCGGCGACTGGTGGAGCCTTGCAACACCGCTTTGCGGATCATGCACATGGGTTGCGTTGGAAACGGGGCCAAGGCCGGACTTGGGATCGGTTGGCCCGCCAGCTTTTTGCAGCATGCATCGCCTAGAGGCGCTACCATGCTGGATCGACGAGCCGATGTGGGAGTCTGTGCCCCTCAATACATGCCAAAGCCGCTGCCACCGCCAAAGTGTGAATGTGTCAACTACCGCTTTCGCGGACCCGCACCCGAGCGGTGTGAAGTGTGAAGAGATGGCTCTCGCTTCCGCTCTCTCCACGGTGTTGGGATGTGCACCCTGTGTTGGGTGTATCTGGCAATGGCCACTGTGTAGTAACGTGCAGAGGCTCACGCAGAAACCGTGAAGTGCACTTGTGTGTAGACCAGACAGGATGATTTGAATAGGCCCTTAGTTGGCCCAAAGGTAAGATTGAGAAAGGGAGAGTCGTGAGACTCGCAAGAGTCCCGAAGGACCTTGAAGAGGCCAAGGGACTTGGTGGATGTAGGGTAGAACGGAAAGAGAGTGGGGGAGATCCTCATGACGGAAAGAAAACGCAAACGGGCTATTTGCAACGTACCGATCGCGGTAATAGACGGTTAGTCCGATCTGTTGCGACACTTCTAGAATACTCCGCAGGACAATGATCTGATGTACCATAATCCTATCGTTCAATATATGTCAAGTAGGTGTGTACAATGATCTGATCACTGAATCAATATACCGAAAACTTATCGGATTATTGTACACACCTATGGGTTATTTATTAAACCATAGTGTGATACATGGGACCATTGTCCTAGGGGATATTCTATGCCTGTTGTAATAGATCGGATTAACCGTGTATTACCACGATAGGTACGTTGCAAATAGCCCATTTGTGTTCTCTTTCCGTCATGAGGACCCCCCACCCTCTCATTCCCTCTCTCTCTCTCTCTCTCTCTCTCTCTTTCTTCCCTACATCTACCAAGGCCCTTGGCCTCTTCAAGGTCCTTCGTGACTCTTCCGAGTTCTCAGGAAATCTCCCTTTCTCTTCCATACCTTTTGGCCGACTAAGCCGCCGATCAAGCCGCCAATTCTCACCATTTTTCGTTGTCTACACACAAGTGCACTTTGCAGTCACTGTGTGAGCCTCTGCACTGTTACTACACAGTGGCCATTGCCAGGGATACACTACTGTAGAGCGTTGACATCCCAACAGGTCATGAACCTCGCGATCAAACGGCAAGCACCGCAGAAGGAACGGTGGAGCAAAGAAACACCAAGAAATCCCTGGGTGATCCCAGCAAAACCGCCTTCCGCCATACACTAACCGCCATGTCGCCTTTCCGCCGATACACCACCGTCATATTTTGGTTTACCCGCCTTCGCCGAAGTCTTTACTGCCAAAAATGAAAAGCCACCTAACTTTACCGCCATATCAATTTATCGGCGTAGACTATGGCATTACCGCGGAACAATCACGTCCATTATGTTGTTTTAGCCTCTGCCGAAGTCGCTATCGCCACAAAACGTGTAGCCGCCTACCGTCCAGCATTGCCGCCATTTGTTCTTTTTATAGCCTCCGCCAAAGTCATTACTGCCGAAATGTAAAGCCAACTGTCATTCTTCCAAAAACGATTACCGCCAAAAACGGTATCTTCGTTCTTTCACCCTAACCCCAAACAAATTACCCCCGTATAGCAATACCACCTTACAATCACCGCCTTATTTTGGTTTTACCACCTCCGCCGATATTGTTGCCTACACTTTGCAACCGCCCACCGTCGAAAACATTGCCACCGGATGGCATTACCGCCCCGTCTGTATCCACCCAACAAAATGGCTACCGACATAACCCTTTGGAACAAATTCCGTCATGGTTACGTCGACAAACACACAACCAACCTACCGTTCAAAAACTTTGAATATTCCAACACACCATGTGTCCAGATTGACTGGTGGAACTTTCACAAGAACGGCGGCATCCGATTACCTCTGGAAGATAATACAGAGATGCTATTGTTTTAAACGTGGAGGGGTGCGATCGGGGGCAACGGGTGCTTTCGTTCCAGAGCGCAGCCATGCGCTTGTCTTACGATATTTCCGGCAGCATGCTCGTGGTGATCACGTGGAACCGTCGAACCAGGCGAAAGCCGACCAACCCAAGTTGTCGGCACAGAGTGAGGCCTGCATGACACGATCGCGGTCTCCTCATGCTGATCGTGACTGGTGTGTCCCTGCTACCTGTGCGAGCGTGCGAAAGCGTGGATGTTGCCATGGCAATGGTGACGCACCCCGACGCGATTCATCTTCTGGTATTGTTCGCGCCCCCGGGATGGTCTTGTCGGACATGTCCGATCGGTTCAGCTCGCGAAGACCGCCGAGAGCTGTCTCGAGCTGGCGCTACACGCATCGCTGTGGGGCATTGCCTGCTGCTCGTTTGGCTGATGAAGCCCTCGCCTCAATACGAAATCTCCGCGTATCAATTTCCGTGCAAACGAGAGCTCACTGGTTATTACCCCGAGCATGGCGAGGTCGGACGTGCTGTGCTCCCCCTGTCGTGTTGTCGAGAGCATGTCAATAAGCTCATTGCTGGCGACTCGAGCCTTCGCACGATTGATTTGCGGACAATCGAGAGCGTATCGACAAGCCCCTCTCTCGGCGACTTTCTTCAAACTCTCGGCGGGTCATGGACACTTTCGAATGGAGCAAGACTGGACCGAGGGTTGTTGGGCGCGGCCACAGGTCGAAACCAAGCACGATCAATTTGCTGGTGCCGTCGGGAGAGTCACTCTTTTTCGAAAAATCGGTCTCTTCGATGGCAGCACTCACAGCACGGTGCGAGGTTGCAGCGGTACATAGAACGCTCGGTTGGAAGGTGGCCTCGTGTCGGCTGGGCGAAACCGGAGTTTTCGACTTCGGTGCAATCGAGACTACGGCCAACAGGCGTCAAGGTTGAGGCTCCACCAGGGCCCTCAATCAACAACTCACCTGAGTACCTCTCAAAGATGATCGCTGCTCCCACTTCTTAAAATGGAGTGGAGTAGTCGGGTGCACCATTCCTATCATCCGACCTCTCGTGCGTTGGTCCGTAGCGAGTGTGCCGCATAAATTTCATGTTGCCGACATGAGGTCTTGGGACGATTGGCGACTGGAATGTCGTGTTGGTACCGAGCGAAGCCAGTGCAAGGTGTGTTTCCTGTAGGCGTTCCACTTCGCCAAGGCAGTCACCTGAGAGCACAGTCTAGCAGCTCGTACGTGTGTATGCATTGCCTGCATGTCTGTTGGAGGTCAAATTTCAGAAGGTTCTGTCATCGCCAAGTTTGTGCGCGTTCTCTCTACCTCGCAAGCGCCCGGGCGCAGGGGACTTGACAGGAAAGGATCGCTGCTTGTGAACTCTCCAAAGCATGGCGAGGCCAGGGCCACCTTTCGTTTCCCCCCTGGAGCTTCCGGGGCGTTTCGTCGTGGCGAATCTGTTGACGAGTGTCTCAGCGACGCACATGTATCCGTTCCACGCGGGCCGAGGCAAGACCGAGGCCTTCCTCGTCTAGTAGCCTTCGCGAGGACATTTAAGCTTGGTTTTGTAGGGGCTACGGGTTTGGGTTGAGGGTTTGGGTTAGAGTTGGTATTTCGAACGCCCCCTCTCTATTTCACATAAACGCTGAGTATATTCACCAAGGCGGTCTCGTCTCATCCGAGTGTCTTCTCAATTCTCAGTCGAGCGACCGGCGTCGTGTTCCGCTTGATAGTGGTGGATGCCGAAGTTGCCTTTGTTGGGTGTGCTTGCCGAGTTCCACAGCAGTGCGACCGGGGTACTCAGTGAAAATATTGATGAAAGCGGGGCACAGTAGCGGTGACTTGGGCATGGAGAGGTGGGAAAATGGAGTATTTGAAAGACCCACCGGGTATTGATTGCCTCGACGACCGGGGCTCAAGGATACCCGGAACCATCGTTCTATACCTTGAGGGGTTAAAACGGAGACCCTGGTTATTAACTCCCATAACCCAATCTATCGCAAACCCAGAGAGAGACATTGGGTGACATGGAGCAGACGTTACCGCTCCTTTGTCTCCTCCCAGAAGGTATTGATTTCTGTCCACAGCAGTAGTGGGGGACTGCGCTTTCGCAGTCTCCATCAAGCGGCGAGGGCCTTAACAATAGCCCCCTGAAATGAGGTCGGGCTTCCTTGTCTTCGCGAGTGTATCGACACCGTCTCGCACTCGCATCAGTGGTCTCCGCGATATGGTCAGGCTCCCATTGTCTTTCTCCAAAGAATGGAATGATCACATGAAGGTGTTCTGTATTAAAGGGGAACAGTGAATCCGTTGCCCTCTGGTGTACTTAAAAGAAGCGCGGCACAATCTATGCACCCGTCGTTTATACATGCATTCCATCGAGCCTTGGGACCGCAAGCACGCTGAGCGAGGGGGGAAAGGAGATTTGCTTTGTCAGCCCCCCCCCCCATCCATTCAATACCGCAGGTCAACAGCACAACAACTGTCGGTCCAAGGGACGATACTGTCTGTGTTGTCCTTATCTCGCCGACCGTACTATGGTAATTTGCGGGCTGTGACCTCCTCATCTTACGCTGCTTTTCCTTGTCCCACGTCATGCTCATCGCCACACAACGCTTTCGAGCACGCACCGTCTCACGACCCTCAGCGGGACTACCACCACAAGAAATGAAGTTTGAACCTCCTTCTGGGCGATTGTCTTCCTTCCCTCACCACACACCCCAATCTTTTTTCATGACTCCCTCCCCCACCGCCACGCTTATTCACCTGTCCGCTCTATCAGGATAAAAGAACGGGCACTCGCCGCGTCGTTGCTTCGGGCAGAGATCGAGCACTCGAGGGAGAAGGCCAAGGCCAAAGAAGTAGAGGTGCGCCAGGTGTTTTGATTTAGTGCGGAAGCACAGTGTATGAATTATGTACGAAACCAAGTGTCCATTTGCTGCCGCAAATGGATAGCACTCTTCTCATCTAGGGTAAGTCTCGTGGTCGAACATCATTGCGCATGGCTTCAAGGGGTGCCACGGGTATGAGTTGACCGGTTAGTCAGGACAGCCCGGAATGGAAGTGTCCACGCCAGGTTAGGCCGGGAAGGCTGTGAACACCACTGCTCACGCCAAGGCCACGTCGGCCTGATTCACACGTCAGGTCTGATCATGACCTGTACTCGACGAAACGGAGCCGGTGACGCATTCTTCTGCTGTTGATCGAGCCAGCCGAATTGACCGCTCTCGATTCTTGTCCCAAAAGTTTTTGCTCAATAACCAACGAACATGTGCTCAATACGTGCGAGAAGTCGCCGTAAGCGTCTTTTCACTCCCACCGCGTCGTCTCGCAAATCATTTTTGCTTTGCTCTCGTAGGCGTGTCTACTAGGGCCGTGATGACTCGATGCAATGGCCTGCACCTTGTGGTGCCTTTCGTTTTCAAAGGCGGGTGATGCACGCGTGTGCCTTTGTCTAGAGAACGGCCGGTCCAGATACGTATCCAGCGACATCAAGTTAAAATGCAAGAGTTTTCATCGTCCATTTCACCGAGTTTTTGTCCTTTTTGTGTTTTATTGCGTTCCTTCCGGCTTGGTTGCTTTGTGCTCAGGAGAAAAAAGCTGCTGATGACCACCGCCAGGCACTGAGGGCTCGCGCGGGCCAGTACCGCCAGGATAAGGAGTTGGCCAAGACGTCGGCGTTCGCCCGCTAGAGGGACCTGCTATGGTTGAGGGCGAGGGCGGAGGAAGGGCGTGCCATCACACGTTTCCCCTTTGCCGCAGTCGCGAGCGAGGTGTTGGGCAAGTGATCCACTCGCCGTGGTCACCGCATCGCACAGCCAAAACGCTTAGGTAGCCAAGAGAGGCACAATGTGACCGCAAGTTTTTCGTTCGCGGAATCCGTACGAGGGGTTGGGGTGGGTGGAGGTTGAGGGCAGGACCACACACAAGGAGCTGATAGAACAAAGGACACACGCAATCTGTTGGGGTTGCCGGTGTGTAGTGTTTTCGTCCCATCCATTCTGGGGCCAGTCTTACATTTTGGGTAGTATCTGACGTATCAGCCGGGGTCACACAAGAGGAAGGTAACACGGGGACATTGTTTGTTTGTTTTTATATTTTTGTCCCACCTTCCTCCTAAGTTGCCTGTCGATTTGTTTTAAGCGAGAAGGGTTCAGCAGTCCCTTTCCTCTTGTTGTGTACACTCACGAAGATGACGCGTTCCACCGCAGAATTGCAAGTCGTTCACTCCCGAGAGATATTCGAACCACCACCTGCTGCTAGTAGGTGTACGAGGGTAAGAACTAGACCACGGGGGCGACAGGTTCGGTGTACCTGCGTTTGATTTTCGTTCCAGCATGTAAAGTAATCGTGACAACGAGGTTCCACACAATCTGCCCTCCTCAAGCAGCGAGGTTGTGTTGGTCGGCAAGCCAGTCATTTTTGTGGGCACAGCAGTGTACATGCATACGTGCATACAAAAACAAGTGTGTACGAATCCCACGTAGTTGATCGGGAAGGATCGGTACGGAGTTCCGATTCGATGTGAGCCGTCGAGTAGCCTCAACCTGAATGGACGCACCACCGCTGGTGGTGCGGGGGTTTGCTGGCTGAGACGCCGTTGTCTCTCACTGGCTCGTGTCCGGAAGAGACCGAACCTCTGCGCTAGTTTGTTTCATATTACATACCAGTACAGTCAGTAGCTCGTTTTTTTCTTGTTTTCGTGTGTTTGTGGGGCGTGCTTGCGCAAGGACGGGTTGTGGGATAGCCGAACTTGATCGGGAGCACCTCCCGCGGTAGTCGCTCGTACGGGTACGGTGTGATTGCGGACTAAATAGTAGACGGCAATGCATTTGTGCGCTATGTTGAGAACCGTTTTGTACCAACGGGTTTTTCCTGTGTTCATGCCCCTTTGGGGGGGCGGGTCTTTCGAGCAGTAGCCTTCGCGATGTTGTTTCAGTATGTAGGGCGTGCGGGGTGGGATTAGGGTAAGGGATAGGTATACGAAGCCCTCGTCTCTATCAACTTGGAAGTAGATTGGTAAAAACATCCGCGGAGGCGGTCCCTTTCGAGGTAGGCATGCGTGGCATGTTTCAATGATAAAACAATGGCGCCGGAGGCGGGGGAGCGGGGGGGGGGGCGGGCGACACAATGACTTTATGTTTGTGACAGATTGTCAATCAGAGGGAGTGGCTTCGAGCGAGGTTGTATGCGTCGAGGTCGGTCGCGTGCTTCTTCGTGCCTTCTTTGCTCGTGTATCTGTCATTTTTTAATTTTTGGGCGGGCTTTATTTTTCGTGTAGATTCGCTCGTTTTTGTCGCCAGCCCTCTCCTCCTCCCTCGGTCCGGGGTGTGTGAATAGGTTTGGTTTCGTGTAGCACATGCAGTAGAAGCGCAACGAATCACGGTGGCGCACATACGACGGGGCGGATACGCGTGCTACTGGTTGGTGCTGTCATGCTGTGTGATTCTGGTGAAGTAGAAGAATCATTCTACTGTTGTAGCGCCAAGTCACCAACAGCAAGTTTACGCATAAGTGTGGTGTTCTGTTGATTGTATCAACGAGTGTATTGTGCGATAGTGTGCGTTGTGGGTAATCGTGATGATAGGGAAACAAGTAGCAATAATCGTCAGGGGTGTCAACTTTCCCAGTAAACTCTTAAAACAAGCAGCACATAGCGTGCGTGAACACAAAGTACGTGTATTTGGTAGCACGATCGATGCTCTTTCTTTGCATCACTCAGTTTCTCTTTTATGCTGCCGCGGCCGAAGCTGTACGTATGCATATGGTATCTGGCAGTGCATGCATTCCGGGTCAGTGCACGGCTACGCGATCCTTGGCATGCGAGCATCATCAGTTCAAGTGTAGTCTACCTTTGTCCTCTATTCGAGAAGAAGCTTGTTCATTCTTCCTATCGTTGGCGCGAAGCACGACCCGCTACGGAACAGGCGTACGTGCGGTAGAGGCCAAGGACAGCCAGCCCGGCGCATCTCGCCTCCCGAACTGTACACAGTGATATCATCCCTATTTTTCTCTGATTCCTGTGTTCGCCCAATATTGGCATGTGCTGTGGTAGGCCATCATTGGTAGACTAAACACTACTGTAGACCTACTACTGTACATCCATTTCAAAGCTCGATCTTCCACGTGCTTTCATGCAATCCCTCTTTGGCCCGATCATGTTTGCTACGATACCTGTTTGTCCTGCCCTTGCTTCCGCTGTCATGTCAACGTGTGCGTTGACAAAACTACTACTGTATTATACTCAGGGTTGCCACAAAAACAAGGTGCCAGTCATCATTCTATGGTAGTTCGACATGCTTGCGAAGTCGACGAACGAGGGGGGGTAGTGATGGTGAAACGCTAAGCAGGCGTTTTTCGCATTCCGGGAATCAGGGATACAATTTAGTTATCACACAACAGTCATGACACTACTTACTCCTTCTCATCCGATCACCCAGCGGGATATCCTTCTCCACATAAGCAGAGGGCGTCATGGCATCATCAACAGAAAAGCGCATCGAACTGAAGCTCTCTAAAAGTAAGCCGATAAAAGTTGACCAGTCCAGGCGGCACTTGTTACTGGTACCGGATAACAGCAGCAGCGTAGGCCAAGTATGTAGTCTACTTCTTCTGCCAACAACGTTGGTTGTTGTTGGACATGCGTGTGCCCTCAACCCTCTCTGCAGTTGGACAAATCCGTCTCTCTCGTCTGCGTCGATATCCAACCGAAGAAGGGAAAGCTCGCTCGTGAAAGCTGAAGTAAACTAGAGAGTCATCGCTGATACGCCCCTCGGGCGTGCCAACAACTGCCGATGATGGAGGCAGATGATCTTGTAAGATGAAGACTGGGTGTTACGCTAGAAGAAGACGCGGAAGAGTGGCACTGCAGCTATTTAGCTGCTGGTGTCCACCCAGGTTTATATTTTGCTCCGAACGAGGTCGCCATCTTCTTGTCCTCACCCCCTTCCCTTTCCGTTCAGAATTAACCACGCGGTGTGCGGCAGGCAACAACTTCCAGAAGAAGACAGGAGGAGGTGATGTCGGGCGTGTGCCGGAAGCGCTTTTGCCCATTCATAGAGATAGCACGCATGTCGGGCAGGGAAAACGAAGGACGAAAGTCGTGTGGTTGAAATCCTTTTGACACGAATCCTGTTGATTTTGCAACAACATAGCTTACTCACTGGTATTCATGATTAAGTCGTCTTGCTGAACCCTGAACCCTAATGATTACACCTACTCGAGCCTTGCAGGGGTCTGCATCCAACGAGGCGTCAAACTCCGGGTCATCAAATCATGTTTGCATGTTTGAACCTGTTTCACCTCAAACCAACAGCGCTTCATTTTTGCACCACAGCGATGCGACGGCTTCCCGTATCTTTGCACACAAAGTTGATGGCATTGGCACAAAGGCGTGATCAAATCATGCTTATCCCATTTTGGCTGCTTTCTCGATCCTGCCTCACTCTTCTACTATGCATGTCACGGCGGAGATGACAACAGCAGTCACGCATCTCGTTGGATGGATATTACCGAAACAACGGCGGCGTGATTCCGTTGGGTGATAGTGATGACTGATGAGCACATGGATGCGCGAAAGCAAAACATGCAATGGGTGACCACGATATCAACTCTCCTGGTCATCGAATCAAACGTGTTTACACTCGGCATGGATTGGCGATCGAGAAAGGGGCGGGAAGAACGAGAGAGCTCTCACATCACATGTTACCGACCACAGACGGATCCTGCTGGACCCTGGACACTGGATACATGTTTTTTTTTTTTTTCTCCTGTTGGCACTTTCATATCTACCCTACGGCGGCCTTGCCTCTGTGACTGAAGAACTCCGGCCTCGAATAGAAGAGCTCCTGTGCGGTGCATACCTCATGGCAAGAGCCCGAGAGGAGTTCAGCCGCCCCGCCTGCCGAGGTTTTACGCGGGTTGATGATGCGTTCATCGCGCGCAGATCTCTTCTGGCAACCCCTATCCCCGGGCTTTTTTTTCTCAATTTTTTCAAAACGCGCGAAAGAAAACAGAAAACGATGCCTCTGCTTGGTTGTTGACCGGCCTGCTGCCCAAGAGAGAAGAGCTCAAACCGGCGAGGGAGGAAAACCTGACGTCGCTAACGGCGACGCTGAGACCGTACCTCAGAACGCTGTCGGTCCTCCGACGCCCGTGGTGGTGGGGAGCGCGGCTCCGATCCTGCCCTGCTGTGTCCGATGCGAAAGGGGATCGTGTCTGCCATGACACCTCAAGACCCACGCTCCTCCGCGCCTCCGCTCGGCGAAGAGGATACCAGGAGGCAGCAGCAACACGAGGCGAGCAGCCACAACAACGACGATAGGGAGAACAACAACAACGACAACGATCCTCCTCCTCCTCCTCCTCCTCCTCCTCCCTCTGCCCAGGCGCCTCGCGCTGAGAAAGAGGAGGAGCCCCAGCAGGAGGCAGGCGGAGGGGCATCATCATCATCATCGCGAAATCGTGGGAGCGCCACGGTTTCTCAAGAGTCAACCCTGGAGAGCAGCAGCACCCCTGCTGGTGCTGTTCCCCAGCAGGCGGGCGCCGCTGCCGCTGCTGCTATGGTGCCGAGCAAGCCTGTGCTGCGGTGCCAACGGAAGGGGAAGGGGAAGGCGAGCGAGGGTGGGGCTGGCGCTGGTGCTGGCGCCGTGGCGAAGAGATCGGTCGGTGCTGGCGGGGACGGGATGGAATTGGTCGAAAAAAAGGGCAAGGGAAAACGACAGCGGGCGGGACAGAGCCATAAGCGGGGCAGGCAAGAGGAAGAGGATGAGGTGAGCCACAAAAAAAGAGAGAAGGATTGAGAGAGGGGGGTTGGTTGTTTTTTTTTCGCGGTAATTATGATGCTCTTTTTTATCCGCGAGGCGGTTGTACTGGGGTGTGTTGAACGCCCGCCACACCCACGGAAGAGAGAGGTTTACAACATACAGCAGGCGCAGCCTCCTGCTGTTGTGTTTCATGTCTCTTTTGGATCGATCCTCACACCCGCTCCTGGTGGGAAGAAGCTGACTTCCCTTCGACTGCTGTTTTGAAAATGGTTGTTCCCGATCTCTTCCCACACTCACTCAGCAGGTCTAGGTAACCCGTGCGTTGTGTCGTAGACTGCCGTGGATGTGCCTTCAGCCCCCGCTAGAATTGAGTAGGTTGATAACAGCAGAGCAGCAGGAAATGCTGGCGCGTCGTGTCTGCCGGCTGTTCAAAATCTTGCTATAATAATACTGCTGTACAATGGCGTCCGCGACGATGCACCTTCGTTTCTCTCTCACACACAGCGTCTATCCATTCAAAGCTGCACCCTGAGTGGCCACTTTTCTTGTAACCTCTCGCTCTACGCATGTATTTACTCTCTACTGGCTGTATTTACTCTCTACTGGCCTACTTTCACACCACTAGTCTATCCCAAGCGTTTCATGTCCTTACCTGCTGTCATCTTCCCATTGGGCGAGCAAACTTCAATCGACGTGTGTACAGCAGTGGGCACGTGTATGCGTAGGGTCTTTCATGCATTCAGCGGAATATGCACATGGTACATACTTGTAGATGGTGTGCTGTGCTGGAGCGTCAACAATCTCAACGCCGACGAAGCACATGTAAGCGTCTACTACTGCTGCACCTCGATCGTTCAATGCGATTCGGGCCATGATATCTTAACGTGAAGTGGGAGCGTGCTCTCTACCCTACTGCCTTTTGGTTTCCTCTCTCCTGGCCAAATGGTGCTGTAGGGCGCGTAAGCTTGGTTGTACTGGTATGCATGTGTGCATATTGTAGAATACGCACAAACTATGCTTTGCGCAACAAACACGGCGGTTCCATACCAAGCACAGCAGTACTTTTGTTCTTTGAAGTGAATCGGTAGATCTACCGCAGTATATACGCTTCACACACAGATTGGAATCTAGCCAACGCGAAGAGGGTTCTTTCGAACATGTCCCATATGTGACGAACCCCCTCGTACTTGGGACTGGTGTTCTCTGCGTGTGAACCAGAACAGCCGCAGCAAGTGGAGAAGCACTATAGCAGTCGGCTTGCACGTAAGAGGACGGGTGCAAGCAACATTGTAGTCAAATGATGCATTTTCTGAAATTACGCCGCTGTTTTCGGCGCCGATGCTTCTTTTGCTGCTGACATACCGGACTTTTCAAAAAAGACTCCACATCCCGTTCGACTGTGGGTATATCTCGAATGGGTAAAATAGTCTTTCTGTGTGTGTATTTATTATTCCTTCATTGGATTCAAGGGGCGTGGTATCTTGCGCAGCCTACGGTAGATGCACCTACACATGCATAGTACCGAGCGGTGTAGAGTGATGTGTTCGGCATTTTGGGGTGGTCTCAATTCAGCGGTGGGGGTCCCGGTCTAGCGGTTTGGTGGTTAGCGGCATGCCCTGTATCACGGTGATGAAGTCGCATGACGCCACTGTTGCACCCCGGTTCAGGTTGTCTTATCTACAGAGTTAATCCGGACAGCGCAACATAGCGGTTGTGTGAGCTGTTTTTTTGTTTTTTTCAGTGAGAAATGGCGGTTATCAACTCGAATTTTGCGGAAATCCCGCGCGCCCAACTGTCTCTCTCCTCGTTATCGTCCAGGGTGCCATTTTGGACGGCACCTCTCTTATATGCCTACTCTCGCCTCTGCTCAATCGTTATCTCACCCCTCCCCCCCCCCCCCGCCCGGGCCGCCTCTGCTGCTCTGTTTGCACACCGCCCCGTCTCCGGCCTCTCGCGCGACCGGACCAAATCAACATGAAACATAAAAATTATCATCGCCAACAAAACAAAAAGGTTAAGCCGGTAGTCGTTCCGCCAGCGTTGGACAAGCTGTGGTCGGTCACGTGCGCGGCCCACTTCTGCCCGATCAAGAAGAGCGACGAGGATTTTCTCAGGGGCAAGCAGCTGGAGATCCTTGGGAACTTCGGCGTTGCTCCCGGCACCATGCGGAAGAGGGCGGTGAGATGTTAGTGCAGCAGTACAGTCTGGTTATCGCGGCGAGAATTTTCTTGGATTTTCTGGTATACGGTACCCCCGTCCTTGTCCCTTCCCCACGCCCCCCCCTCTCTCTGCAGCTGCCAAACGTGCTGTCGTGGAACGATCAGGCAAATATTTTTTTTTCCCTCAACCAATGTCCCACACTAGTGCATGGTGCTTCTGCGTTACGTGAGATGACAGTAGTATGTAGTAGTATATAGTCCTCCGTTGCGGAACGGGGTGCGCAGTCAAATGAGCCCTACGCCCGCCCCCCCCCCTCTTCTCTCCCCTCGTCCAATTGGTTTGCGAACCTCTACTGCTGCAGGAGGAGTTCGAAGGCACTTTTTTGCACCCCACCATGGGCCCGGAGGATATCGGAAAAGGTGGGTGGTCTGATGTTTGTTGTGCTATCTTCGCACGGGAACGACTTTTGGTTTTGGATTCTCCTCGGTACGTTGGAAAACTCCCTGCTACGCTGGTCCTGGCGATTTCTCGATTAGTCAGTGTGCATGCTGATTTTAAGTCAATTAGCAATATCCCACATGGGGAAGGACGTACATCTCGGCGTCAAACGTCGTTTCAGGCGGGGGGGGGGGGGGGGGGGGGGAACCCCAAGAAAGGGGGGGGGGGGCCAATCTTTTGGCCCGGGCCCAAAAGGAAAACCCCCCTGGAAAATTTTTAAAATTTTTTGTAACCCGGAAAGATCCCTATTGGGGTTGGGGAATTTCCCCCACGGCCCAGGAAAGGACCCGTCCCCGTCATTTGCCCCGGGATGCCGAAAGGTTCTAATTGAAAAACAAACCGGGGGTTTTAAGCCCAAAACCCCTCCCACCCCACCCCCCTTTTTTCCCGGAAAACTTTCCCCCCCGTTGCGGGCCCAAAAATCCCCCACAAAAAAAAAAACCAAGAGCTCAAACTGGGTTGGGGGGCCGCCCCCCGGCGGGCCCC